TTACTTATTTTAATTTCATTTTTTTAATATTAATAAAAAGTTTGTTTAATTTTAATAATACATATTATTATTAGGATCACCAACTCTTCTCTTTGTCACACAAAAGGATATTAGAATGGCCAATGCTTCCCGTACTAATAAAGTTACTACTATTATAAAAGATCTATCCGAAGGTGCAGCTTTAGATTTTTATTTCGAGCATGAGTTAGTATGTTGGTCAGATAGTGGTTTAGAAATAATTCAGTGCATTCAAACAAATGGCACTCATACTGGGGAAAGAACAATTGTAGTAAATTCTAGTTTAATTTCTCCTGATGGTTTAGCTTGTGATTGGTATACAGGAAAATTATATTGGACAGATGGAGAAAAAAATAGAATAGAAGTGACTAGCATTGATGGACGTCACAGAAAAGTTCTTTTTTGGACAGATATTTTCCAACCAAGAGCTATTGCTCTTGTACCCATGAAAAGTATACTCTTTTGGACTGATTGGGGTGATGTACCTAAAATAGAGAGAGCTGCAATGAATGGAGATCCATTGACAAGGGAAGTGATCATTTCTGATGATATATTTTGGCCAAATGGATTAACAATGGATTATGAAAATGAGTTGGTTTATTGGGTGGATGGAAGACTTAAATTTATTGCAGTAATGGATTATTACGGGAAAAATAGGAGAAAAGTGGTCGAACAAGGTTTAGATTATCCTTTTGCAGTAACATTTTTTGATCATAGATTATATTGGACTGATTGGAAAACATGGTGTGTACATTCGTATGATGTTCGCCAAAATCAAACATATCCTAGAGAATTATTACATGGAGAATATATTCCTGGTGATATAGAAGTTTGGGATATTAGAAGGCAACCACATGGAAATCATCCTTGTGAAAAAAATAATGGAAATTGTTCGCATTTATGTCTTCTAAGTATGACAGAACCTGGATATACTTGTGCATGTCCTACAGGTGTTAAATTAGTAGATAATTTGACTTGTGCTGATGGACCAGAAGAATTGTTGTTAATAGTTCAAAGAAATGAAATTTGTCGAATTTCTTTAGATTCACCAGATTATACTAACTTTGTGCTACCATTGACAGGTACTTTTTATGTTTTATAATATCTTTACTAATCTGTATCTTCTAATTTATATTTTAAAGAAATTAAATATATTGTATATTTTTAATAAAATTAGGAATTAAACATGCAATAGCAATAGACTTTGATCCTGTGCAAGAAATGCTTTATTGGACAGATGAAGAAGCTTGTGCAATTCGTAGAGCTTCTCTTGATGGTTCAAATCAAGAAAACATTATAACAACAGAAGTGGAAAATCCTGATGGAATAGCTGTTGATTGGTTGGCTCGGAATCTTTATTGGACTGATACAGGAACAGATAGAATTGAAGTAGCCAGATTGAATGGTACAAGTAGGAAAGTGTTAATAAATGAAGATTTAATTGAACCTAGAGCAATTGCTCTGGCTCCAGAATTGGGGTGGATGTTCTGGACAGATTGGAATGAAAAACGTCCCAAAATAGAACGAAGTAATCTTGATGGAACAGAACGTACTCTTTTAGTAATCAAAGA